CCCCAAAACCCCAAAACCCCAAAACCCCAAAACCCCGGAACAAATTATCATTTTTGAAATATTAATATTAACATGGCTAATAAAGCAATCAGAGTAATTAGTACTATTTTGTTTTGGCTTCTACTCAAGCTGTTCAACATATTGAACTACATTATCGTGTGATTTAAAAAAGTAAAAGACAACATTCGTTACAGAATACTCAGGTCTCACTTTGATCTGGAAACTGACATAATTTGACAAGAAGTTAGACCTAAAATAAATAAGAAAATGCAACATGTTGCTATTTGCTGTATGGAACCTCTGGAACAGGACAGGGAAATACAGTTATCTAAGCTTTCAAACCTGATTAACTGGCTGCAACTGTCAGACGTGAAGTATCTCACCCTATATCTTGAAAATATGGGGAATGTCCACATCTTAGAGGTAGAGAAATACTTGGAGCGCGTGTTAAAACATCAATTTGCTTCCTTAAAAATAACGTGGGCAGATGGAAATAAAGTCACTAACCAGCAGACTTTAGCTGTGAATATTCTTTCTAAAGATAGAGTAGGGCAAGACCTTCAAAATAACATGAGGAAGTTCTGAAGCAGGGATGCCTACTGTGACCAAAGTTCTGATTTTAGGACCACTAATCTCCAGCTAGTGGATTATCTTAAGAGTAATTCAGATTTATATCTGCCGATGAAAAACTCTCAAGAGGAAAATATTGATGACTCAAAGACTTACTTCGAGAACTATAATCCAGATCTCACTCTTGTGTTCAACCCAGCAGGGTTTAGTCTAGGTAGCTTTCCTCCTTTAATGAGGGAATTCACTGAAATGCTTCAGTGAGGAAGTTTACAGCGGATGAACATTCTCAATTACTATGATCAGATGACAAAATTCTTCAATATCCAGCAGAGATGGGGGATTTAATTCAAAAGAGCTCTTTTTAATAACTAATTCTATTTCAACACGCGTTGGAGACTATGGGGTTTTGGGGTTTTGGGGTTTTGGGGTTTTGGGG